CTGTCCTTGCCATATCTCCCTTCATCGAGGAGCGGGTGGGGAAGCTGATGGGGCGCTTCGAGGGGTTCTATCGCGATCAGAGTGTAGTTAATCTGAGCGATGCATTTGCCGCGCTGACTTCAGACGTAATCACCTATTACTGCTATGGAAAGCGCTGGGGGTTCATCGAGGACAAGGACTTCCGCAGCGACGTCCACGGAGGTAACGAAGAGAATACGGGACTTGCTCACTTCAACCGCTTCTTTCCTTTTGTGCCGGAAACAATGCGCAAGATTCCGCTGCATCTGATGGCCCTATGTCTCCCCGGCAAGGCTGGTATGCTTCAGTTCCAGGGTGCCATTCTGAGCACGATATCCGAAAACACGCACGATGCCTCCAAGGCACCGGGGAAGGACGACCGGACCATCTTCAAAAGGTTGACGGACCCCAGCTTACCAGTCGCGGAAAGAAGCAAGCGTCGCATTGAGGATGAGGTGTTCACGCTCCTTGGTGCAGGCACAGAAACGACCGCCAGTACCTTGATGATTATGACCTACTATGTGTCGCGGGATAAAAGCATACGAGATAAGCTGCGGAATGAACTGAAGCAGGTCCTGCCCACACCTACCAGTACCGCAACCTGGCCAGAGCTGGAGAAGCTGCCGTATTTGGTATGTCGTGAGCCTGCAGTGCTGACTATTCATCCTAACTGACTTTCACTCCTAGACGGCCGTTGTAAATGAGTCTCTAAGATTGTCCTATGGGCTGATTATGCGGCTGCCCCGCGTGGCACCGACTGAAACACTAAAGTACAAGGACTATGTGCTTCCACCGGGGGTACGTTTTCTATCACTTTGCCTTCCACCCCTATCACAAGCTAAAAATACTTGATAGACACCAATGAGCACTTCCACTTGGTTTGTCCATCGCGACCCGTCCCTCTTTCCCGAGCCGGACAAATTCGATCCGGAGCGCTGGATCAAGGCTGCCGAAGAAGGGGTTAATCTCACGCGATACATTGTATCGTTTATGAGGGGGAGTCGAGCTTGCATTGGAATGAAGTCAGTCTGCCCCTACCGCTGTTGCAGTGTCTGCTACTAACGAGTCCAAATAGTCTGGCATATATCGAGCTCTACCTGACCATTGCGCATGTGGTGCGTCGGTTCAACTTTGACGTGGAGAGCACCGGCACGGAGGGTATACGCATCACACGCGATAGGATTGTTCCTGGTACGGAGAAGGGGTTGGTGCGGGTGTATGCAAAGGTGACGGATATGGTCGAGTAGCAGAGAGTGAAACAAAGATGATCAAAATCAAAAGGGGATTCATTCCAATTGACAGACAAGTGACTTTGCTGCAGTAGTTATTTATCTAGTACATCATCCTAGTGTCTTGATAGTAAGACATCACCTTCCATAAACACTAGGAAGTATCTCACATCTACCATCCCGATCTTACATAGCATGCATGCTATAATGCAAAGTAAACAAAAGAAAAACATAAAATGTGAAATAAAAAACAATAAATTAATCAGGTCGTGCCCGGGTTCGAACCGGGGTTGTCGGAACTTCCGAAGCACAAGAAGTACTCAAAATCCGAAGGGATAACCACTACCCCACACAACCGCATGCGGATAGTTGTCACCTGCGATTTATGGTTCATCAGGCCATTACTTTATTTCCAACTTCCATTACTTTGCTCTTTGCAGTGAGGGATTATTAGCTGGACATATACAATAGACTACGTTGCGGGTAATTACTCTAACTCATTGTAAACTATTCCTCAATATACTCCATACTATACGGGAATTTACTACGTATCCTACCGGAAAGCTATTAGCAAGCAAACCAGTGGGGACTCAAACCAGACCAGACCAGACCAACAAAGACCACCTGTTCGGCATGAGCATTTATTACTTCACAAGTAACTGGAGAAAATATACTAACACTGCATTGCATCTACCCCTGAAAATGTTCCAGACATAATAATAATAACTCATCAGCACATGGGATCCTTCCCTCATTTACCCTGATCATCATCATCGCCAATCGTCATCAGCAACAGACTCAAGTAGATAGATAGGTAGGTATAGCAATCTGACACTCGCAGATCGTTTCCTTAATGCCGTAACATAATTTCGCCCCTTAACAAACCATGGGATTTATTACAAGGCAGGGAGAGACAGAGAGAAAGAGGCAAATGGCAGCGTGACAGCCCACCCACGATTGATTGGACCCTTGGGATCGGGTGGAAGCGGTCCACTTCAGCTGCTACTTTAGTACTTACTACGTACTTAGATACTGATTGACTGAGTCGGAAGTGGGAACTTGGAACTTGAGGTGCCTTGGATCCACCCGGTCTGGTTCCTGGACCTGGCTGGTGCTGGTGCTGGTGCTGGTGCTGGTTAAAAGGGAAAATGAAAGAAAAAGAGAATAATAATAGGCATGGTGCCATCATAATACTATTGTTGTATTAATGTATAGTATGGTACTTTGCAAGGAGCAGGGAATAAGTAGATAGTATCTGGTAGTGGTGCAATCAAGTCAATTAGCCGTTACGGACGGACTTGTCTCGGGCCGTGTGTATGTTTCAGTTTCTTGTCTATCTATTCATCTACTATCTACTTTGTATGATACATTTATTAACCGAGTACTGTTAATAGAATAGGTTGATGATCAAACAAGGTATTATTATTACTATCATTGGCATCTGGACGGATATGCAGTATGCACATGGCTGGATCTGGTTTGGAGGGGTAGAAAAACTCCGTAAGTCAGTACTTTTTTCTTTTATTTTGGCCTGAACTTTACTCCGATTGTTATGCAGCATTGTTGCATATATGCATGCATCTGCAGCTGTGATACTGATACATATACCAAAATACAAAGTACTTGGGTATAGAGTAACTGGATGGTGTGATGTGGTGGTGGGATGTGGGATAATAATGGCGGGGGGAGAATTAATATGGATCGTCCCGTGGTTGAGGGCCGTTTACGTAGACTGTCTTGGTTGATCAGCAGGTGGGATTATGGGAATATGGGAATGTTGCAAAAGGGGGTTGTTAGAGAAGAAAGTGTGAAAGGCAGACAGAAAAGGCAGTAGAAGAGGCAATTAGGCAAGAAGAGTAACTCACTCACTTACTCACTCACCTGTACCTGAATATTACGGAGTACTACTACTTACTTGTTACTCCATTGGAAGCACCAATTGCGGCCGCCCCTTAAATATCCCGTCCCCGCCGCCCGACTTTCTTCCCCCCCAAATCTCCGTTTGCGCCATCTTACCTTTCCGTTTCATCTTCTTTCTATTTCCCTCCTCCATCTTCTCTTCCTCTCTCTCTCTCTTCCTCTTTACCTCCAACTCTATCTCTCCCTCTCATCCTTTATCATAATCATACACTATCATCATGCCTGCTGGATCAGTTCTTGTCACCGGGTAAGCTTCCCATTAATGCCTTTGTCCCTCCATCACACCCGCTGACCCCGCAATTCTCCCCCAAACAGTGGAACGGGCTACATTGGCTCTTTCACCACCCTCGCTCTCCTCGAGGCTGGCTACAAGGTCGTCGTCGCTGACAACCTCTACAACTCCTCCGCTGAGGCTCTCAAGCGCATTGAGTTGATCAGCGGCAAGAAGGCCGAGTTCGCTCAGCTCGATGTCACCGACGAGGCTGGCTTCGACCGTGTCTTTGAGGCCCACCCCGACATTGACAGCGTCATCCACTTTGCTGCTCTGAAGGTGCGCTTCCTCCACTTTTATCTTCTTTATACATTTGCCTGCCTCTATGCGTCGATTTACTTCTCTGCATATCTCGCGCGTCAATTGAGCTTCCTGGCTGACCGGTATCTAGGCCGTCGGTGAGTCCGGTGAGAAGCCTCTGGACTACTACCACGTCAACGTCTACGGCACCATCTGCCTCCTGCGCTCCATGGTCCGCCACAATGTCACCAACATCGTCTTCTCCTCCTCCGCCACCGTCTACGGTGATGCCACTCGCTTCCCCAACATGATCCCCATCCCCGAGGAGTGCCCTCTGGGCCCCACCAACCCCTACGGTAACACCAAGTTCGCCGTCGAGACTGCCATCACCGATGTCATCAACGCTCAGCGCAACAACGCCATCAAGGCCGGCAACGAGGCCGAGGCCCAGAAGTGGAACGGTGCTCTGCTCCGTTACTTCAACCCCGCCGGTGCTCACCCCTCTGGTATCATGGGTGAGGACCCCCAGGGTGTCCCCTACAACCTGCTTCCCCTCCTTGCCCAGGTGGCCACCGGCAAGCGTGAGAAGCTGCTCGTGTTCGGAGATGGTACGTTACCTTCAGTAGTGAAATTGAGATTGCGGGATTAACTAATTCTTCAGACTACGCCTCCCACGACGGTACCGCCATCCGCGACTACATCCACATCCTCGACCTGGCAGATGGTCACTTGAAGGCCCTGAACTACCTCCGCGCCAACAACCCCGGAGTCCGTGCCTGGAACTTGGGTACCGGCAAGGGCAGCACTGTCTACGAGATGATCCGTGCCTTCTCGGCGGCCGTGGGCCGTGACCTCCCCTACGAGGTTGCTCCCCGCCGTGCCGGTGACGTGCTCAACTTGACCTCCAACCCCACGCGCGCCAACAACGAGCTGGGCTGGAAGGCCGAGCGCACCCTCGAGCAGGCCTGCGAGGACCTCTGGCTGTGGACCCGCAACAACCCCCAGGGTTACCGCCAACAGCCCCCGGCCGAGCTGCTGGAGAAGCTGCAGAAATAAATAATGACCCCGCATATGCTTAGAATTTCTTCTTTTTCTTGCCAGGAAAATCGATAGAGACACGATTGGACTTGCTAATTGGATGACGAATTTCCTTTTTCCTTGTTGTATCTAGAGAGCAGAGCTTGATGTGATGTTGATGTAACTGAGTTCGCCATGCAATATGCAGCGATAGGATAGACCTGGATCACGTAACTCTATCAATACAGACAATGTGATAATGTACACCCAACCCTACCTAATCTATAAAATTACTTACTATACACCTATTTCCCCTTCCGACTCCTCCTCGATCCCGGCGTCTGTTCCTTCGTCCCAGATCCAGACGCCTTATTCTTCTCCATCTGCTCTGCCACCTCCTTCTCCTTATTCGCCAACGCCCTCCGCACCGCCGACTCCCTCTCCTTGACCTCAATCAACTTCTCACTAAACTCCCACAACATCTTCCCGGCCTCCTCATCCTTGACCTCCTTCCTCGCCAAATCCACCTCCTTACACTCCTTAATCATCCACCCCCCTTCCCCTCGTCCATACTCCGCCTCCATCGCCGCATACAACACGCTCTGCGCCCCCTGCTGCGGCGACTTCAACACCAACCACCACACCGGCCACGTCACCAGATACACCAACAGTCCCCACAACGATCCCCCCGTCATCCACCTCCTCATCCCAGGCGTCCGAGTAAACCCGGGATCCACCATAATCACCCGCGCACTGCACGGCTGGTTATCCGGCCTCTTGAACGCATTCAAATGTTTCTGGAACGATTGCGCAAACACCATCAGAGAGAGCTTGCTGAGTCCGTACAAACTGACCCCTTTAGCCGCCTTTTTAGTCTTCGGCTTGGCCTTTTCCCGTTGTAACTTTCCATTCTTCATCACTACCCTCCTCCCATCCCCACCCCCGTTATCCCCCTGCTGCTGCTGCTGCGCAGCAGTAACCGCAGCAGCCGCCTCCACCTGCCGTAGATCCCACTTCGCCCCGATATAACTCGAGCACGTCGTAAACACGACCCTAACATCACGATGCGCCGGCTGCGCCCTCAACGCCGGAGAAAGTATACTCAACAGATGGAAATTCGCCAGGTAATTCACCATCCACTCCTCGTCGATGCCGTCCACAGTGAGCTTCCGTTTCTGGGATACGGGCGGCGCCGCATTCCCGCAGAGAATCACCATGTCTAGGCGTCGCGGCGGCACATTATCGATCCATTTCGTGGCGAAGGTGCGGATTGAGTGTAAGGAGGAGAGATCGACTTGCTCCGCGTAGATTAGTTGGTTGTTGGTGCTGCGGCGGAGGTCCTCGATGTATTCGGAGAGGAAGATGTCCGTTGCTGGGTGTTGTGTTAGGAGGATGATTTGGGCTCCCCGCGAGGCGAGCGCGGAGGTTACTTGCGCGCCGATGCCGGATGTGCCGCCCTATTTAACCCCGAGGAGATTATATTAGTATTTAGGGAAATTGGGGATAGGGGAGGGAGGGATATACAGTAATCATAACGACTTTCGAATGCATCAACCGCTCAGAGGTATTTCTAGCACCCCCGAAATAATATTTCAGGGCCGCGAGGACGACCGCCCAGGGGAGGAGTTTTAATATGCTCCATAGGTGCGGGATGGAATTTGTGCCTTCTGTTATTGCTGTTGTGATGATGGGGATGGGCATTTTGTCGGAGGAGGGGAGGAGGGGGAGGTGGATGTGTTTGTTGTATGGTGAAAGGGAGACAGTCGGAGGAGACAGATATGTCTCTGTCTGGACGGCGGAGTTAAGTCCAGACACTCCGTCGGAGGTACGTACTTACGGTACATATCTTAGCGGCCGATCTCCCGCCACAAGAGCTGCCATTATCCTCTCTAACTTCCTCCTCTTCACTTCATAATTTCACTTTCGTACAAAGGAAAAGAAAAGGGTTATGGACAATGCCACCCAACAGAGAAATACCAGATGAAGATGATGACGAATACTTCCTCCCCCTGCAAGACCAACGAGTCTTCGGCGCAGGGATCCGTCGCAAGCGCGTGCCGTTCGTGCGCTCCTCCGAACAACACCTCTCTACCACACGAGTATCCTCTGAGCCAGCAACCCCTTCTACTTCGACTGGGCAGAGCATAGCGAATAAGTACCTCTCGATTGTTCTTTCGAAGTCGAAGTCGAATCCCGCTACTCCTCCTACACAGTCACTGTCACAAACTATACCGGAATCAGAACCAGGTTCAAGTTCACAACCATATAATGAGCAGAAGGAGGAAGAAGATGAGATTTGTCCCGTGTGCAACCTTCCCTACACTACACCTACACACGACGCTTCAGAAGGAGAATCAGGAGGGGCAGGCGAAAGGAGGAGGCATATACATGAAGCTACACTCCCGCATCAACTGAGTCTCCCGCATTCGCATCCGCCGTCTCATCTTGATCGCACGCGTCCCGGACTACGCTATCTCGCTGCCTACGGCTGGGATCCGGATTCGCGGGTGGGATTGGGACCTCAGGGACGAGAGGGCATACGGGAGCCGGTGAAGGGGAAGGTGAAGGAGGATACGGTGGGGTTGGGGGCTGTTGTTCCTGAGGTGAAGGATAAGAGTGGAGATAAAGGTGGGAGGGGGAGGGTGCAAAAGAAGAAGGTGTTGAATGCGAAGGAGGCGAGGAAGGGACAGTTGGAGGAGAGGAAGAAGGGGGAGAGGCTACGGGAGTTGTTTTTTCAGGATGAGGATGTGTTGAGGTATCTTCATGGGAAGTAAGTTGTTTTTTTGTGTCATTGGATTTAGGCGTGCTTGGTTTGGTATATACCCAGGAGTTCGAATAAGTATTAGGGTTCTGCTGGTCTGCATGGTACATACATAGTCACTACATACACAGAAGATACTTGAGGCTAGTATTAAGGTCCGCAGTAGGTGTGCTGCGGAACGAGGCTGGTTCAATCGCAATCAGAGCTGAAAGAATGGCCAAGACTACCGGAAGAAGCGGTGCTTCTTTTCCTTCTTCTCTTTCTTCTCCTTCTTATCCTTCTCTTTCTCAGGCGGCGCTGCTCCGTTCGTCGCTTTGCCGTTCGGTCCCAGTGACATCGCCGCCAGCGCGGATGTCGGTGCCATCGGGTTCAGATTCACCGGGACTGGCTTCTTCACGGGCTGTGCCGGTGGCGGTGGAGCTTCCCGCTCGAAGAGATGCGCCGGCGCTGTGGGCTTGGGCCGTTCGGCGGGAATGTCGAGCCGGCGTCGGTCTACACTGAGATCGCCCACCTGGCGCAGGAACAGTCCGGGAGACAGCATGTGCGATGTGGCCAGGAACACGTCCTTGCCGCACGACTGCGAGATCTCGTAGCATGTGCGTGCCTCTCCATATGTAGCACCACCTGCCATGAACACGATTATCCGCTGTTTCGGCTGCTCGCCAGTAGACCGCGTCCGTGCCCACGTCGGTTTTGCACTGCGCAGCGACGCCTGGGAGAGACTCTCTTGTTGTCCCGGCGAGTCGGCATCCGTGTGTGGCCGCGTGAACGGGAAGACCCCGGGGTCCAGCGTGCCGCGCACCAGCTCCTCCAAGATCAACTTGAGGTTCAGGTCGTAGCGCGAGAGGCTTTCCTCTTCGTCGATGGGCCCAGACGGTGGCTTCCTGGTGAACAGCGGCTGCACGGGTGGCTTATCGTCCTTCAGAGGCTTCTCCACACGGGCTCCAAGTAGATCGAGGTTGGCTACAATTTCACCGTCCTGCGGTGCAAGTTGCGCGTGTGCCAAGAGCTTCCGGATATCACCCGCGAGGATGCCTCCCCGGTAGATAATGTAAAGCAGCAGCAACCTCAGTCGCTCTGGCTGCTTGATCGCATCGTCATCTAGCAATTGCACCAGCTGAGAAGCCAGGTTCTTTGCCTTCTTGTAGTTCTCGTCCATGCCAGTGGCGAAGCATTGTTCCACCGAGCTTACTTCAAGGAGCTTATGTTTCTGGAAGTAGCTCATACACTCCTGCGCCATGTTAAGGTGCAGTGTATAAGCATCTCTTCCCTTTTGGAACTCTGTCAGACCCGCCAGCATGTCCTTAATAGTGTTCACGTTCGCTTTATCATTGCTGCACCGCCGTTAGTAAGAAAGAAAGACCATCAGTGGCTGTCACTCACTCTTCCGCAAACTGAGGGTTGGCAGCTCGGAACTTGGCAAAGTCTTCACCTAGCTTGCCGAGCACGTCCTTCATATGCATGTGGCGATACTCCACCCACACGTTGTCTTCTTCGTTGATCTCCATATCCTTGACTTCCTCGTTGTGGCTTCCCTCATTGATGACAGTCTTGTAAGTAACCTTGTCGCCATCGCTGATCGGAAGCAGATCGTGCACCATGGACTGATAGGTAAACTCATGGAGCAAGGGCGCGACCAGGTCCATGGACCGATCCACGATCAACAGCACTCCGCGCGGTCTGGGGGACGGGGGCGGAAAGTCGCGCTGGAATTGCGCAAACTGATCCAGTTCGTTCTGAATGAACCGCGCCAGGTGTGAACACAGTACGCTGGCCTCGTGTGTTGGTGCCCGGGGGCGGTAGTACCGGATCACTGGGTACTCTCCTAAGCTCGCACAAAGCGAAACAACCTGTCCAGTCAATACCAGCTCATCTACACAGGTAGTCTAGCTCACCTTTTGCGCCAAGCCCTCCAAGTGTGCGCGGATCAAGTGATTACAACCAGGGTGGAACAACACCGGAAAGCTCCACGGGTCTCGGAAGGTAATCAGGCGCGATTCCCTGGGGAAGTAGTCGGCATTCATAATCTGAACATTGGCGATCTGGTCGCGAGCAATCTGGGAACGGTCCAATCTAGCGCGCTGTTGCGGATCGAGAACTGCGAGCGACGTCAGCACCAAGCGGCCGTTGAGGAAGCAGGTGCCCGACATGATGTCCAAACCAACCACGCTTTCCGGTATCTCTTCCTCTCAAAGTCCGCCATAATACAGTCGACAATGTGTGGGAGGGGCGAGAGGATATACAGCGCATCCATCGTCGGATTGGGGGAGCGCCGATGCTCGATCTGCTCAACATCTTGCGGGAGGCCATTAGCGCCGCACCGGGACGACGAGGAATAAACAGAGGGTAACTTACTGGTGACATTGAGATTGAGAATATCATCCTCACTGACCGCATTGTCGATCAGCTTGCGACTGGTCTCGTCCACCACCAAGACCTTCCACTGTAGACAGAATGTCAGTTCTGCGGCGGGGTGAAACGAAGCGGGGGCCAAATCCACGGTAAGGAGAAGGGGAGGGGAAGCAATCGCACCTCATTACCGGCCGCATAACGGATCGTATTCAAAATAACTAGCGAGTGAATAATTAATATATGAGTAGTCTATAAGTAGAAGGCAGGGAATACTCACGATCACGCTGGATGTTGAGGATTGAGGAGCTCATTGTGGCTGACCGGCAGCCCTCACGGGGGCATAGACACTAGACTTCACGATTGCTGGGGAGGGGAATGACGGGGGAGCAGTAGGGAGGGAACCGGAAGATAAGGCACAGCCAGAGCCAGCAATGGAGGGGGAAGGTAATGGAGCACAATACTCAGGGGCAGCCGTGATGGACACCAGCGATGCGGGCAGGCTATCTTTTTGAAACGTAAGTCGGGACTCAGGATATCCCCGAGACTGGAGACTTGAGACAAGAAGAGACCCTCTTTCTGCTCTTGCTCCCCAGCGGGTCAAAAGCATCATTCTTCCTGTCTAATCTCCCGATCCGCCAGGCGGTGTGACCCCTCCCCTTCCTGTTCCGGTTAGTCTGCGGCGATCGCCAGCTGCAGGCAATGAGGCACCCAGGCACCCAGGCCGCCAGAAAAAGCCGATGGCGAATGATTGCCATCCAGATAGTATCCTCGGTTTTCAACAACTATTCCTCTCTCGCGCGCGGTTGCAGGACGATGCGGTGATTGGTCTCTGACTGGTCAGGGGTTACTTGTGTCGCTTCCTTTTGGATCTCCCAAATCAGTCCCTCGTTTTTCTTCTCTCTCGCCTCAGCAGTTAAACTACATTTCCGATCTCCGCAGAACCCGCTCCGCAGCTTGATAGCAACGGCAATCATTCGACCTGACATTGCTCCCGGCACAGCTCGGTGGGATGCAGTCATGGAGTCGCAGAGGCAACTATTGCCTCTTCTGCACCTTCCAGTCGGTGTCACGTCCCGTCAGGACATTTGTGACATCTCCGGTGCTGCAGAGATCCGTAAGGCCTTTTAAGAAACAGCGCCATTTACAAAGCCTGGAAAAGAAGAATGAGGGAGCTACGGTACAGATTTATCACCCTACCCCACCACTCGTCCATTATCTCTGATTCCAAATGGCTGACTTTTGATCTACGTATAGTCTTCTAAGAGATCTGCTCCCCCATCCTTCGCTTCGAAACGGAACACCCGACAAACGCTTGCAGCCAAAGATTTCGCGGGCGTTGTAACACACGCTTTGAGCATCTACCGGCAAAATCTTACAGATAAAGATGACCCAGCTTTGGCTAATTGGGCCCGGTTTGAACGAACCATGCTGAACGCATGTAAACTAGACGAGCGAAAAAGTGTTGGTCCATTACGCCACATCAAGGATGCGCTGCATAGATCATACCTCCAAAATGGTGTTCGAGGATTAATCAACGAGCTGGAGTTTCACATGTACGCAGAGGATGTTACGTCGAGATACTCAGCCCCCAATCTCGAAGCACAGAAGAAGGTGGCGGATTTGCGACGCCCGGCCGAGTGGTATCCGCAAGCGCGCGCTTTGCAGCGAACGAT